AAGTTATTGAGATCATTTTGAACCAGGGATATACTTTCACTTAGAGTCTCAGGCTTATAGCCGTTTAATATTTTGAGATCATCAGCACATAAGTATGGTTTACCAAATTTTATTATGTTACATATATCGTTTATATACATAGAAAACAAGAATGAATCTAATACGTTTCCCTGGATGGCTCCACTTGTAATTGGTGTAGGTGACGAGAGACAGTCGTTTTACTTTACCATCTGTCTACGTTCTGTTAAGAACGAAGCAAACCATGAGTATAGCGGGTTGTTTATTCCGAAGGACTTTAGTTTTACGAGTAGCCCTCTGTGTGGGACCTTATCAAAGGCTTTCTTAAAGTCTAAGAATAGGACTGATAGAAGGAGTCCGCTGTCTCGTTTCAGAGTTATATCATTCAGGTAGTCTACTAGGCATGTATCGCATGATCTAGACCTAAGAGATCCATGCTAGGGGGTCGAGATGAGATTATCAGTAAATAGATGTTGGACTACAGCCGCCTTAACTACTTTTTCCATCACTCTGGATACCACTGAAGTTATGTTTATGGGCCGGTAATTTTCAACGTTTGCTTCAGGTCGTTTTAATTTTGGGAATGATGCGTGGTTTTCCAGGCATTAGGGTAACACGCTGTAGATAGTGATATCGCGAATAGTTTGAGCAGCAAAACACGCATATCATCACCACGTTTTAGCATGCTAGATGGAATACCATCTGGTCTATCAGTGTAGGAGTGTTTCAATGTACTGATTGCCTTGGAGATATTTTGTACATTGAATTCTACATCAGTAGTTTCACAAGGAGGTGCTGGGATTGGTTCAGAATCATTAAATGGTTTTTCGTTAGTTAGTGAGAAACAAAAGTGTTCACTAAATAATTCTGTGACGAGTTTGGGATTTTCGTATACTTGTTTGCCTTTAATGAATATACTCCCTCTCGATTTAGAACGTTTAAGTTTATTTTGGAGGAGTATGGTGAGTGCAGAGGAGTTATTATTAAGTTCAAATGCACGTTTTTCCTGTGCGACTGCTTTTTGTGTACTTATTGCCTCTGTTCGGACAAGAAAAAAAAAAAAAAAAAAAAAAAAAAAAAAAAAAAAAAAAAAAAAAAAAAAAAAAAAAAAAAAAAAAAAAAAAAAAAAAAAAAAAAAAAAAAAAAAAAAAAAAAAAAAAAAAAAAAAAAAAAAAAAAAAAAAAAAAAAAAAAAAAAAAAAAATACTTTTGATGTTGTGATGAAATATACTGGTTAATGTGTCGGTATTGCTTGAAGTAAAGAAAGTTCTCCAATCAGTGCTTCTTAGGTAATTGTGGAAGTTATTCCAATCAACCTTGCGATAGTTTCTATGAAGTGTTACGGTTTTACTTCTACCAGTTGTGGTTTTTATATTAAGGCTGCATACGACAATGTTATGATCACTACCTGGAAACGTTTTTCCAATATACAAAGTATTGAGGATGAGGCCACTGGTAAAGACCAAGTCCAAGATATTTTTATGTCTCGTAGGGCTATCGACATACTGAGTCCATTGTCCAAACTCTAGACATTCAATAAATGATTCATAACGTCTCAGCGCTTTGACTGGGAGCCAAGAAATTTCGGGCATGTTGAAGTCACCACAAATAAGCTTGCTTGTGAATGGTAGGGACGACGCTAGTGTGAATACCTCCGATAATACTGCTATTTCATCTATTGATGGTTAAGTTGACGATAAACACAGTCTAGCAGTAAGGTCACGGAATTCGACGGCTTTAATACAATCCACACCGAATCCTTCAGTTTGTTTAGTTCAGGCATATCACATAGTAGTGAGTTTAGGCTAGAGTGAGCGTAAATAAGACATCCTCCACCTCGTCCATGTGAAACGTCCAAACTCTAGACATTCAATAAATGATTCATAACGTCTCAGCGCTTTGACTGGGAGCCAAGAAATTTCGGAGTAATTACAATTGTGATCCTGGGGAATTTGGATAGGGTGTGAAATGAGAAGCCTATAATTGCCATGCTTATTAATGGTTTTAGGATTTAGGGGGTGAGTGGAGTGATCAGTGATCTGGTAGTTTTTGTTAGTCTGCGTGTAAAATGGCTTGTTACGCTCAAGCCTATTACCTGTTTTGCAATTTAGAAGTGTTGACGGGAAGTTATATGATATCAGTGGGAAGAACCTGTTCACAGTTGTTTGGATACCTATAGAGCAGTTGGGTTCAATCTTATGCGTTTCCCTATTCGGTATCGTGAGTCTTGTCTTCCTGTAGAATCCAAACCACGGTTTAGATGTTGAAGAATAACCGTCCAGGTACGTTAGACACGCGCCCTTGCCCGTCGAAATCAAAACAAGTAATCGGGTAAATAGCGGTTCTATAATTCATCACAAATTTAAATGTAAATCGTTACCTAAACAAATATTACCACCCGGCTATTCAACCAATAATTTTCCAATCAATAAATCTAAATTACAATAAATAAAGGAGTTGATAAAAGATGAGGGAAAATTACCAGTCACAACAAATGAACGTTTTTCTATCCTGGCTGGATAGAACACACGCACAAAAGGAGGAGCAAATCAATATGGCTACCGCCAAGAACAAGTGTCAAGTAAAACAACACAGATGCAGCTCGGGAAGAAACACAAACTTAGTGAATGCGTAAGAAAAACAAAAACTATAATAAAAAATACAAGTATTAACAATTCAAATGTAATCAAAAGACAGCAATGTACAACTAAGGGGATCAATAGGAACAAAGTACAAGTATATACATGGAGGGATTTTCACCAACACACAAAACATTCAAAATGGATCTTACACTTCCTACCCTTTTTTGTCAGAGCTGGAGACTTTCTTTATCTCTGTGAGATGAATTTAGGTTCATTCGAGTCAACTTGTAGAGTATCTTTAGGAGGACTAATTTTCAAGTTTACAGGTTGAGTTGGATGCATGTTGTCACACGGCCCTCATCTTAGTAATTTACTGAGCGAACACCCGGGGTTAGACATGTCGTTATGCTTTTTGGTGACAGATTCCGTATCTTATCCAAAGGTTTCTGATCAGCAGACTCATCTAGACCAACTGAGTGATTAGCCGTTTGTGGAGTGATGCCGTGCTTATTGTTCATGTGCTTTAATCAATTTGCTGTGTTGCAAACTGTCTCTGGCTGGTTATTTACTATAACACTCCCATGCATTCCTATCGCTTCACGTCTTCTTACACGACGTTGACAGGGCGTAAGGTCTGGAGTGACTTTTATATTTTTGTATGGAATTAGTGAGTTAATATTTTCGCTCGGATCAATAAACTTATTGGCATCGCTACAATAGCCTGCCTGACTTTTTTCTAAGGTGGGTGACTATGCAGTTAACGTTCATCATGCCGCATGCTCTAAGATAAATGTCCCATAACTTAGATGGGTGTGCGCGGTCGAGGAGGTTATACGCAACTGCATTGAAGGAGGACATCACTCATGTAGTCAATTCTTCAGCCACAAATTTCAAAATACACTCAGCTTTAGTGAGTTGCCCAAGATTTCTATCAGTGTCGAGGTCCCATATAAGTGTGAGGGGTGCTAGTTGGTTAAGTCTGCCGTTAATTTCGGCTATAGAGTTTTGTAGCTGACGGATGTCAGTACTATATCTATCAGTATATTCGTGTGTATGAGATGAACCATTAGACTCTTTAGTTTTTGAAATTTCAGATTTAGGCCTTGGTAAAACATACTGTTTGGTAGACTGTGCTGACTTTTCGATACATGTGGTTATTATGCCTTGTATGTCAACCAGTCTTACCGTTGGCATACTGCACTCAGAGATAGAGGGGTTGTAAGATAGAGAGTCAGGTAATGATAGTGATATTTGTGGATAAGACGTATATTGTTCAGTAGATAAAGGTTCGACATTGTCACGTACTGATTCGTCAGTCTTAGGGGTTACAAATTTGGACCTTTTATTTGGCCTAGAAGTTGGCGAAATTTCTCTTTTACTGGAGTTATTGCCCATGATTTCAAACTGGATGAGGACAGAGCTCGTTAAACTAAATATAATATCTGAATATTGGTTGTTATTAAGCATGAACCTGGTTAACACACGGATCAGAGACTATAAGTATGTAATAAATTTCAGATCTATTTAGGACTCAAGCCCGCGATAGGAATAATATTAACTGGTAAGAGTCCGTCAAAAATCTTTTCTCAGGTAAATATGTACCCGATATACAAGATAGGATGATAGTCTCAGTATAATACCCTACAAATGAACTAGCCAATAAGTACTAAACCACGTGAAAAACAGTTAATACCTTCAAATTCAAGATTTCCCCTTAAATGCGTTATCTGAACAGCTAGTTCCTATCTTCCCAAGAGGGCAGCACGCCTAAGTATGTTCGATGAGTAGCCTTTACAGTCCTTTATAAAACTAATGAATAATATGATTAAGCACTTTCTCCTTATGGAAGAATGCAAAGTTGTCTCATATTATCACTCTACACTGTAAGTAACTATTTGAGTGTTAAAATGCATTGTATATTACTATTTTCAGGACTAGCCATCTTCAAGGCATCACAGAAAAGTTATGAAACTGCGACCAAGCAAACACAGGATGGGAGTCATTTGTCTAATTGTGTGGTCAGATACTGTCGGACACCCTGACTGGACAAATAGTGTCAGCCCCACCGGTGAATAACTCCAAGGGGATACTGGATGTCTACTAGAAAACATGCTGTTAAGATCAACACAGGTAGATCCACATACTATTCTTAATACTAAAGACTAAACACGTTTGCTGGTACGTGGGACTCGTCTCAGTATTCGACGACTGTACTTATGAATGAGCATCAAAATTATCACGGCAAGCATTTCAATCCTTTTTGAAGTAATAACTAATTCTATTAAGGTTACTGTTACATCAGGCTGTAACTTAAAGCGCAATAATCAGGTAAGTAAAAGTCAATGACCTTGAAGAGTTTCTAGATGCGGCTTTTCTGAGTTTTGTGCGCTTGTTTTCGAAAATGAACATTAGTGGATTTGAAATCAATCACGGGACTGAATTAAAATTCTGTGGAAATCCATGTTGCAGTTCCATTACCCCTCTATGTTTTGCCGGGATCGATACATTGTAATCATTTCATGTTTGTGTTTGCATTTTCATAGGTGTGCTCGTAATCGTTGCAAAACTAATTGGTATCATTTTTCTCTTGGAGAGCATGTTTGCTCCAGCTGTTATGAGTTTTTGGACACTAACACGTAAGCTAATGGTATTTTCGGTTCATTTTTATGTTCGGGTGTTGGGACTCATCAATAACACAATAGTCCACACGTAACTACTTATTTGAGCTGTCTTAGAACAATGGTGGACATGTGTTTTTTGCATGGGACTTTCATAGTGTTGATGAGCTTCCTAAATGCAAGTTCGCGAGAAATCTCCGGCTATCTCCCTGTCTAGCAAATCAAAGGCATTCAGGAATTCTAAGAATGGTTATTCGCTTGAAATGTGTGTTTAAAAATATTTCAGAGGTTAAAAATATGGCTGGCACATCCAAAATCCGAGGAAATCGAGCTTCAATGATTATCATATGCGTTCTGTTGACTTCTTATAAAATTAGGTACACAGGCATTGCAGAAAGTGCTCCCTTTATTTACGCTGTTTTCGGCGAGACTCTAATTTAAGGACGACCTTTGAACGAATTTTAAGTGACCTTGACAATTATTAGCCAATCAGAAGACAGTTAGTATAAAGTGAGAATATATTGTAAGTAAGTAATGAATTACAGTGGATATTCTTCTTTTACATGATTTAAAAACTTGTTAAGGTCTGATAAAGGTTCAGAGGCTCTGAATTCATAATGCATATTGTATAGAAACTCGTCCATAGGGTTAGTGGTTAGGGTTGTAGCCTGTAAGTAGATACATCTCTAAAATCCGATGTAAACCGATCGCATGTTAGCACCCTAATCCTAACCTAACCCTAACCCTAAACCCTAACCTAACCCTAACCTTAACCTAACCCTAAATCCTAATCTAACCCTAACCTTAACCTAACACTAAACCCTAATCTAACCCTGACCTTAACCTAACCCTAAATCCTAATCTAACCCTTACCTTAACCTAACCCTAAACCCTAATCTAGCCCTAACCTTAACCTAACCCTAAACCCTAATCTAACCCTAACCTTAACCTAACCCTAAATCCTAATCTAACCCTAACCTTAACCTAACCCTTAACCCTAATTTTAACCCCAAACCCTAACCCTATGGACGAGTTTCTATACAATATGCATTATGAATTCAGAACTTCTGAGTCTTTATCAAACCTCAACAGGTTTTTAAATCATGTAAAAGAAGAATATCCACTGTAATTCATTACTTTCTTGTAATATATTTTTACTTTATACTGTCTTCTGATTGGCTAATAATTGAAATTGCTCAAACGCTTCTCATTGGCTCGTCCCTAAAATAGAGTTTCGCCGTCCCATCTGTTGTAACCTCTCATTAATCACCTACTCTCTAAAATCCGCTGTGAACCGATCGTATGTTAGCAGCGCCTGTTGAACTTGGCTCCGTGACCTTGAAATTGCTCAAACGCTTCTGATTGGCTCGTCCCTAAATTAGAGTCTCGCCCTGTTTTCTTTTAAGTTGTTTTCGAATAAGGACGCATTAATTAGTGGTTTGTTGTGTCTGTTTTGAGTAGTCTCTTGCATTACAATTTGGTTTGAGTAATCTTTAGTTTCATCACTATGTTTGAGCGTCCAATCAACATTAAGTCTACCAAGTTATTTGTATTTAGGCATTTAATTAAAACTTTTTTGAACTATTTATGATTGTTGAACTATTTTTATAATACTAACATGTTTTTGACTTTTCTCAAAATCGTTTGTCTCTTAAGTCCAAAATACAGATCTCAGTCGGCGAATTCTGTCTGGCGTCATAGAATGAATTCATGGCGTCGAGAGTGGCTGAAGAAGTCAAGCCAGTTAGGTCGTCGTCGAATTCTGAACGCGGCTAACTTTTTGGCTGCACAAATGTTACCCTGGTGGTTAAAATGTAATAAATGTGGTCTTTGGCGCCAGCTTCCACCACAGACCACTGTAGGGTCTTCGAAATGCAATTACCGACCTGATAAGTTCACGTGTGCAGATGTAGTAAAGGTTGGTTATTTCTCTTATTTAACTTATTTTCTTCTGAACATGCATTGACCGATCAGGTCGTGCAAACAAGTCTTCAGAATTGTGGCTGAGATACAGAGAGCTTAGTTGTACATTCGTTTGATTTCATCATTTTGCAGTAGTATGCAGACAGACAAATGTCATAAGTAAAAGTTTGCTTAAGTGTTAAGTGAAACATAGCCACTCTAAACACAATCTCTTTTATGTATTTTCAAAAACGTCAATCTGTTTCGTAGGGGGCTACGATTTGTGAACGAAAAGGTAGTGACTGTGTAGCAAAGTAAGAAAATTGATTTTTTTTAGGTATTCCAATAATTTTATCATTTGTGAGAAATCAGGTGTAGTGTAATTTTTCTCAGGGTATTGTAGCCGATGGAATACTTGTCACTTCACCAACAGGAAAATCTTTTAAAATTTGCGTCTAAGATTTACAGCTTGTTTGATCTTTGTATCGAAATCATAGCTACATCAGTTAACTGTAAGCAGTTACAAGCTATTTAAATAGCTGAATTATGACACTTCATATTGTAGAATTAGGAATAGTAGGGATATGGTGAACCTTTTTATATATATTGTAATTCTTTCTTCATTTAAGTAGTCACTTAATATGTTTAATCTTCTGACCAATTTATTCAGTTCTCAAACAACCCTTGCTCCTGGCCGGTAGACGAAGTAAGTTTCTTGTGTGCTATGTATGTACACCATTTGTTTATATGTAGAAGCAAAATATCTAAGCTTTCATTTGACTTGTTAATCCGACCAACATATTATTCGTGGAAAAGGGGTAGTAATTTTGTACATAAAGTATTTCATTATCATTCTACTAACATGATTACGTGGAAATTATGTTTGTCTACAATTTTCAATGTTGTATCATATATTTGTGTTATAATTTCTATTATTACGACTCAGCTACTCCTATTGCTTAATAATCTTGGACACCAATTCACTCGACATGTCCCGAAATAAGAAAATGGTTTGTAGTGAACGATAACACAAGTGGAGACATTCGAATGTACTTCAACACAAAACTCCAGAATCTCTTAGTAAAATCTGAGAACCATACAGTAAATACTTATTCCACCACATGTCGAGGACGTTTTTGTTTCTTCTTGGGCTGGGACGCACGATTCGATGGACATTGACCTCTTTTACGTCCACGTCTGTTGCACACCTGATATTTATGCTTCTTAAATGGTCAGAATCGCACATAATGCCAACCGGCATATGACCAACAGGCAGTCGTTAGTTTTTTACGGGCTGGTCTCGGCTTCTGAGCTTTTAACCTAGTAATGGCATTCACACTATTACAGGTTAAATTAGGATTTACCTGTCCAATCAACCCATTGTCGTGTTTGGTGTTTTGTAGCCGCTTACACTCATACGTCAATATCCTAAGTGTGACGTTTGGATCTTGATCCAGTCGAGTTAAATGTCCAGTCTTAATCTCAATATCTTGTGGTGACTGAAGAGCTTTGATGAATATTAGACATTTAAATTGGTCTTCTGTTAATGAACTTAACTTGAACCGTCCACACTCTGTTGACGACGTCTGCTAGAGCACCATATTCATTGGCTTCGCGTTTCACCAAATTTAGACACTGTTATCGAACACTAAACAACGAGGAGGATACACCGAATATCTCTGGCAATTGAGTTACTGCCTCCGAAGCTGAGCTCTCGAGGTAACTTTGGAAATATATGGTCAACATAACGTGCATATTCATTGCTTCCAACAGTGCATGTTTGGGATAGGATTAAATCTATCAAAATGCTTCAGGATTTGCTTGCGTAAGCTTCTAAATTAATGATAAAGAGTGAAGTAGTTGAACGTATCAAATGCTTCATCTATATTAGGAGTCTCATCAGTCCTGATTCTCTGGTGTTTGACGAAATCTCTGCGTGAATTCAGAAGGCTTGATTGACTTTGGCCAACTTGCGTTACCTGTTGTTACGCACGCGATATATCCATCTGCTAACTAAAGGATGAGTATACTGTGTAGCAGTTCACTGTGTTCTACTTTATGGATGTAAGACGTGGTCATTAGGAATAGAGGATATCTGTAGGTTAATAGTATTCAATCACAGGTGTCTCATATGTTTTGGAACCACTGAATGAGCCATGTCTCGGTTAGGAACAGAGTAATATGTGAGGATGGCAAATCGACTAATGGAGTATTGAATTTCCATCAACTGAGATAGTTGGGCCTTGCGATACATATCGTCGACCACTGTCTACCTCGATAAGCGATACTATCGGATGTAGTAGTTGGTTGTAAAAAACTAGGGGAGGTCAAACAAAGACGTGGGTGCAGTCTAGGAAGTCATTGATAACTATACAGCCTTGTTAATAAGTGTATACGATCTGGTTGCGGTCCTTGTGATTATTGTAACCAGTGGTTAGAGAATTTGTATAGCACGGCTCAAAGTTCTTCGCAATGGTGTAGGTTCATTCCCTCCTCCTCATCTAGAGCTTAAATCCTGAAATCTTATGCATTTTGCTTTCTTCTATACCTAGTTATTTCTTCCTTTTCTTCTTTTTCTTCTTCTTCTTCTTCTTCTTCTTCTTCTTCTCCTACTCCTACCAAATATTTAAACGTATTGTAATAATTTATGTCTCTGTGCTTATCTGGTACGGCAACTTGAGGCAATACACGAATGTGTGAAGTTCGAGTTTACTTATGATTGAATGTTGGATGTCTTAGATGTGCTGCTTACATTTGTTTAAACCGTATAATTTCACGGTTAGAAATGAATTTCTTGATGAGTACTAGTATTAATTTGTTAGGTTGTGAAGCTTCATTGAATGAAGTCTTTAGTGCGTGTTTTACAAGCAACAATTTTCCTTCTACCCAGACTTGCGATGTTCATTAAACTGAATTTAGGTTGTGAAAATGATACTGCTGGTTAGACCATAAAACAAAATCAGTCAATAAAGTTGTCGTAGGAATAAAACTAATCATGTAGCGGGACATAGACTGGGTTAAAGCATGCTCAATGCACGATTGCCTTAGTGCACGCTGATTGGCTAATTCCTATCCAATCAGCACTAGTCGATACTTGGAGAATACTCTGGAATCTTCTCATGTAAAAACTATAAATATACTAACGTTTTCCCTATTGTGCTTCTTACTTCTATCTAACTTTGTTATTTGGAATATAATCTCTTTCCTGTTCAACCGTGTTCTGATTTGGGGACTTGTCGAGTGAATCGGTGTCCGAGAATACTAAGCAGTAGGAATAGCTGGGTCATAACCGTAAGAAAGAGATCATAACAATAGTGATAATGAATTAAGCTAAAAAACAAAACAAACGAGTATATGGTTAATCCTCAGCGCTTATTGGTCTAAAAAGAAAGTAGGCAATCATTTATTGTTCATATTTCAAACCTTCGTAGGTTTATGTACATGAATTCGTGGACGGCAAGCACCGCCAGTAGAAAAAAAGCTCATGGATTAAATAATACAGTACTACCATAAACCATCTACTTAATATTTGTAGCATTTCATTCCTTTTCATGAGTCTTAGTTCCATCAAAATTAATTAATAATTGCTTATTAGTAAGATTAAGAATAGTAGTTCACTATATAATAGTCCTACAAAGTTCCAACTTCAATCCTTCGTAAAACACATACTACTTATAAATAAATTAATATATTTATAATATCCTAATGAGCAGAAAAATTAAACTTTCTGACGTTTCGTGACTCAGTGTAAGCCACTTCAGAAAATAAATAACCGAATTTTGATTCGATTAATTTAATTTTTCTACTCATTGGGATATTAAAAATATATTAATCTATTTATAGCAATCTACTCAATGCTCAATTTATTCGAAATTACCAAGTCAAACCTTGATAATGGTACATACATATACTACCTATTTCATTACACTTGGATCTGAGATAAGTTTGAAATGATTCTCCAGTCTTTTGTTTCCTGTAAATGTTTTGTTCTCTTTTTGAAATAAATTATCTAACAATCTATTGTAGCGCGCTAAAATTGTCATCAGTAGGCCCCATGACTTTTTAGCAAGCATGCAAACGCATGCTTGGTTACAAGCATCACCTGCTCTGAAAGTTTCATCGTCATATGGTGTCGACTTGGCTGGCTTGTCCCCTGATCCACTTCCAGGTTCTACTGATGAAGATGAGAAATCAGGTAAGTATTTTAATAGCGATTATTTATCTTACACTTATGTTTCTATGTACAATAATTTCTACTATTATCTGACGTATTAGGCAGTAAATTATTGTTGAAACTGAATTACTTCCTAGTATAGTCAGTTAGCGTTTCCTTTTTTATGATAAGCGCTTTATGGTGGTCGAAATTTAACAGTTTAGCTGAGAGATAAAACTAAGATACATTGAAATGTCTGTTATATTTCACATAGTTTTGGCTAGATGATACATGGACTTTCATTTTTTTTCGTAATTCGCTTTATCACAAATATGCCTATTTCTTTCTCCAGCAAGAAATAAGATATTTACCTGAAATCTAAACTAAGAAGTAATCATTGGTTCACCTGATAATGCAATTCTGAAAATCCGAACTTTTATGATAATGAACAAGACTGCTTTCTATCTTTTCCTTCTCTGGCCACTAACGAGAGACAGTAGTTCAAGCTTCTATAGATGTTTTATTGTTAAAGATTCAAAAAGCGTTGATTGTCATCTGAATTCATTAAGTTATATACCAATTACTGGAGTAACACTCGGTTATTTCTCTTACACAAATGGGACGTTAATTTACCTTAGACGAATATCTACACTAGATACCCTCCCAGTGTCTATACTACGGGGCTTCAACGCAACTGGGATCAGGAACATGTGACTGGCTTGACTAGAGCTTGAGTATATTTCCAAACTAACAACCGACAACATTAGCAATAATAATATGGGTAGATTACTTGAAAACTACAGTTAAGGAAATTTCTCACTCGTTTTTTAAGAGCTTTCCGTCTTTTAAAAAGCATGATAATAATAACATGTGATTCACATAACAAAATAAATCTTGACAACCACTGATAGTCTAGTCGATTTTTACCAAGCTTTGTGACATAATTCATTATCGTTATCGTGTAGTGATGCTCTCTTAGGGTTGATTACACAATAGAAATGTCTTTCGATTAAATCTGTAGTTCTAAGATTTATTTATTTTATTTGTTGACGGTAACAGGTGATTAGTTGAAATGACCTATCTATATGTTGTAATAAAACTTAATCGACATTTGCACTTATTTACCAGATGTACATTTCTAGAGAGAATTATGTTATGGCAAAGAAAGACAAAAAAAAAAGAAACGGTTCACAACTATGGCGAATTAGGTCACAAAATAATATCCGTCATCATAAATGTACCAAGATGAATACTTGTCAGTTGGCGAAAACTTACATTGTGCTCAAATATTTGTTTTACAGTTAAGAGACTTGCATTTTCTCATTTCTTATATTCATCCCTCAAAACTTTTTTTGTACAATCTCATAATTATGGCTGTCATAGGATCGCAGTAATAATTCCATTTTATTTTTCTTTGGTCAGTGTCTTCTGACAGTCCTTTTAGTGTGTTTGAAGAGGATGGGGGATTTTCTCCGATTGATTTACGCGCTTGGGAAAGATTTTCATTCTCTGAAATGTCACGGTATGTAGATAATGTTTACTGCGAAGTTTAATTTGGGATTAGTTCATTAATTTTCATTGTTTAATCGTTATGTTTATTTTTGTACGTGTGCGAGTGTTTAGCACAACGAATTACTTTGACTTCCCCATTTAATATAGGTGACGAATTAATATTGTTAACTTTCGTGTAATAGGTTTATAAGTAACAGACTAGAATACGACACTATAACGGATGAGATGTATACCATTTATTTCGAGGCCTAAAATTTCTACACACTTTCTTTTGCTAGGTTAGCTTAGATGGTATGTGATAAATATCCTCACTTTACTAAAGCATTCCTATTACATTACGTTCCCTAGCAACGATCCAGGTTTCTTTATTGATTATGTATAAACTTTATGCCATTTAGTCATCCACCGTGTTTGAAGTCAGTTGTATACACTGACTATGGTTCGAGTCCTCCAGGTAAGCGTCAGTTCTTTCGAGATTGCACATACATCTTGCTGTCGAGTGTCAGCTAACATGGAACCTAGATCCAGAGTTTCCTACTGACTACTTTCAATCATCTAACATATATTGCATATGTGTATATCCCTAATATATTCTTAATTCTGGTAAAGTTTAATGTCGATCCAACTTGAACTGCAAATGGATCCTTCGAGAAGATACCTCCCTCGTCATGTTAGTGGTACAAGTTATAGAGTCACTTTTATTATGTCCACTGTATTTGTAAATTCCATATCGTGTCTTACGTCAGTATGTATATCCTATATGTGTTGATTAATTCCAAGCAAGCATTATTCATTTGGAGACTAAAATCTTGTATACAGAATCTGTCTATGTGAAATTTTGAGATCTAGTAGTAGTTCAGTACTAACTAATTAGAACAATGTTTGATTTATACATTCATGTTGAGAGGTTATGTATCATTTATTTCTTCCGTGTTTCATTTATTTGTTCCAGTTTTCCTACATTGTACTTAGCTGTACGAAATTTAGTTCTTTGTTTATGGTTCATAATCCCAAAGTGAGTTTTACTTTGTGGATGCATGCTTTGTTTTGCTCGTAAAGTTCTATTGTTCTGGATGTCTAGTGCTGTAGTGTATATTATCGTATTATATGTGTATTTGTTTGTTAATTAAGAGTAAATACTTTCCAACATCAACTATAAAAAACAATGAACGTTGGAAAACTTCCGCTTTTCCTTCAAACTTATCTAACACTCAGATAAGAACAACGATAAACCAAAATAGTGATTATGCTCATGGAAATGAGATTAATACTTGTACATACCTGTTGTTTTTAAACACCCTTACAGTGTTCATAGAAATAGGACAATTACTTTGTAAAATGAATCGCCGAGTAAACTTTAACGAAGCTATATTTTTAAGTACGGTAAAATGAAGAACGCTTATGTCGTGGTTAGATTCATATTTCAATTTCAGTGTTAAGATTAGTTTATCATGTATTTACTTATTATTACAGGTAGGAATTTCTGTATACTATGATACTAAACAGCCAAGGCTAGGTACAGTACTTTCAATATTCCATAAATTTATTGTACCTAACAGCTTCAGTCATTTTCTTATCCATTTATGTTACATGTTAAAGTGTAATTTTCAATGGGGATTTCGTTCCAGTTGTCCGCTATAAACATGTTATTATAGCGTAGCTCAACATGTGGGATGAAAAGTTAAGGCATGAAATGAAATTTTTAATAAAAAGTACACTAATTTTCAGCACTTAGCTGTTAAGTGAACAGTCAGTTGGCCGAAACCACTGCGCATAGAAAAGGTTTTTCTATGTAAAAAGGCAAACATATGTCATGAAATGAATAGAACTTGAACATCAATTAAAGATTCGTGTATTCAGTTTTAAATCACACATCTTATGTGACTTCTAATGATACTTTTCGGTTACTCAAAATAAAGTAAGATTATAGTGAGTTTTGAATCTACAATTCAGTGGTTGGATAGTCAGTAGCTCTAACCATGAAGCCACGAGTTCACAGTTTCATTGAATCAGTGAACTTCATCTGATAGGTCATGGAATCCAATTCTCACTTGAATCTTAAGTCTACCAAATCAAGCACAAATGAGCATAACTAGATACTGTAAGTGTAACAAGTAATTTCTTCGAGGGAACTCGAAAGACTATTGAAACGCACTGTTAAAAACATCTTTCTGCTTTTTAGCTCATAGACATGAATGATAAGGATGATACAAGTTTGGTGGTCACTATTCATTTCCTGAAATAACAGTGATATTTTTGCCTTCATTCGAGTTTTTATGTTCGCAATCTGCTTCTAAGTATACCAGCATTAAAATTGATTGACTATAGTTTCATCATATAAAAATAATTTCTAATTACTTCTACTTGGATAGTGTGGTTCATTAGTTTGCAAAGCCTAAACTTTCAGTCTAGATATAAATAACGTTCACCTGATAGGCACTACAACTGTTGAGAATAAATGATTGCATGTTGTTTTCAAATTGTCGTGTGTCATTTTTTTAAGTTACTTGATAGTTATCATATTCTCATCTTTTGATTGAATATATCCTTTTACTTTTCAGCGCCTAATAACCAGTAAATTTGCAGCTAATCACTGTTTTGTCCGGGGCTTACTACGTATAGTTTTGTGTGAACACTGGATACCACATCTAATTGAAGAATTTACATGTCGTGGTCTTATCAACGTTGGTGTTTGTCAAATAGATCCGTTTGATCTAGCGGTAGAGAGTGACCAGGTATTATATTTCAGAAAAGCAAGTAATTAAGTGGTACTATTTAGCTTGTAAGGAAGCAGCTAAACAAATGACATTAGCAATTATTTAGTGTTGCTTATGTGAATTGAATAAGTTAATAGTAACTGTCATAAAAAGTAGACATCATTTTGTGAATCATGAGTGACCAACGTATGTTTCTTGGATTCCACTCCAGCAACTTGCATTTTTACTAAACTAGATCTCTTTATATTCCTTCTTTCTATACATACTAATCAGTTGAATTTTGTATAGATTCAAAATTCTACACTTGGGAGTATCAAATTGCGGTGAAAATCATTTTCAGACGTGTTTCTCCGTTTTTTTGTAACTATGCTTTCCGTTAATTTAATGAGCGAACCGAGACGTCAAAGTTTTCGGTGCTAGCTTAAACAGTTCTTTTTAGAATGAATCAAGAGCTTCAGTAAGGGCCAGAAAGACTGCAAGAATGATATAAGGTAAGGGTAGTCACTGATCTTTCTGATAGGCACCTCACTTTCCGATTTATTCCTGATGAGCTGGATTTTGGAAGAGTGTCTGTACACAAGGCTCCAGCAAAATACTTACGGATGAGAAAATTGTGTGACGAAAAGACGACTGGAGGTCGTACTTTTGAAGACTTCTAGGACTGTTTCGAGTAATAGAAATGGAGATAGGATGAGTAAATTGCAATAAAATGAGAAGTTTTATGAGAATGATAACATGAGTCCACCCTAATTTTTCAAAACCCTGGTTATTATGATATCAATTCCAATATTCATCGGACAGAGTAGAACTTTACAAAACGAAATTCTTATTTAGATGCTATACAGTAATAACCATACTGGTAGATGCGAACCACCTGATTGGGGTCCGGAAGATAATCGTGATCAGTTGCTGGAGACTTTGAGTGACATAGCGCAGAGTCGTTCACAATAGCGCACAGATGCATTCAAATGTAGTCTTCCTCTTCAATATTCCTTTATGCATACTTTTCCACTTTATCTTTTTGAAAGATATTCTCAATGTTCATTTATTATCATTACTAATACATTATTTAGATCTATTTGTTAGTTGTCTAATTGATTTCATGTCTTCGTACTAACATTGTATTGGTAACTTGGGCCAATCGCACATTTTTGTCAATCTCTACGTTAATAATGACTAACTAATTTCACAAGTTGAAATCATGAGCCAATTGAAGCTAGACTAACTAATTAACAATAATCATTACTACACTGAATTATGTATTAATTAATATATATTATTACATAATAATTATAGTTATATATATTATTAACATTGATATCCTGTGAAATTTTTGGGTCAATAAGATTGTCACTGGTGTTTCCAAAGAACAACAGCAACAACAACAAATTCCTTCAAAATTTCAATTACGATTAATCGGTGATTCAGATTTGACAACTGCTGTAACTATCCGTCAACTATGGAATGCACTTTATCTACATCAGTTACATGTTCAATCTAGTCAACATGTTCAGTCACAACAACAAAAGCTTTATTTTCCTGTATCTATCAAATCAGTACCTTCTCCTAGTGTTGTTAGTGTATTGTCAACATTTACAAATTCGGTAAATAATAACAAGCTTGGAGAATTAATGATCCAGTTTTCCACTTTGAATAGTACTATTCAAAGCACTTTTGAATTGTTTACAAACAATGGATTCGATAAAAATATATGTGATAATAATAATAATAATGATAATAATAATAATGGTGAGATGAAAAACTTAACATCAAATGTTATAATGTTAAAAAGGTCCAAACAATATCCTGTTTTATTTATCCCATCTTTAATGGTAAGTTGATCAGATTTGTTTTAGTTGTACATTGAAGGGAGAGTTAAAAAGTTGATTTTTTTAAAAAATGAATATTTATCTTATTCGGTCATTGTTAAAATTTGGTGAATGCTTTGATTTTTTATGGCTAGTGGAGCGGTGGCTTAACAGTGGTTAAAGCGTTCAACTTTCATCTACTAGGTTGTAGGTCCCCACCTACTTCACTAGCCTCTATAGACAAAGTGTGGATTAAAATCAAGTACACGAATATGTACCTTACCATAGGTTAATAGTAAAAACGATACTTTAAACTTATATTTAACCTGATAATCTCGATGTACACGTTTCAGACATCAAATTGTTGGCAGTGTAACATACATTCTCATCTTTGCTTTCCCTTGAGTCTTTAACCTCAATATTATTTCTTATCCCTCGATTTCATCCCTTCTTTACAAACTCTTTTCTCGAATGCTTATTCTTCCTCATAATCAACACTACTGCTACAACTATTTTGATTATTCGTTATTCGCTTTTTAAGTTTTATCTCGTTGTGCTGGTATTTTATTATTGGGATTATTGGGATGTTGCATATTTGTCAATCAGTTAGTTATGAGCAACACAGGACCTGGTAAATTTGTGGATCTGTTTAAGCTACCATACAATCATCACAACGTGATCAAATTATCAAGACAAATGTTAGAGTAGTAGATGTAACTATCAGTAGTAGAGTAGGCTAGATTATATATACAGAATTAGAGAAGAATGAAAAGTATAAGTATGCCATATTATTCAACGTCACCAACCATTACTTAAGATAATCATGTGGACCCCAACTAAATAGGCTCAATCTACATACTTGGTTTAATTCAGTAGTCAGTGACCTCATGGATTGACTCTATATATTTGTTTCGCCTCTTCTAGCTTTCTTTCAACCTTTTACACCAGCAGGCATCTCGCCTCAGGATATGCGGTGGTTGAGCATAGACGATAATTGTCTCAATCACCTCAGCTGATAAAGATTCACTCCCTCACCAATCGATTTACCACCCTTACTCTATACTCTGTGTCTAGCCTCTACGTTGCTCATTCTATGGTCCCAATTCGCACGAGGAATATGTTCATTTGTGCCAGGTTGTATGTTGATTGTGACTGACTAGTTGAATGACTGAGGATAGTTTAGGCAGCAAGGTAATAGTAACGGTAACATCGTATCATATTATATAATATGTTTAGTTTGTAATATAGTGTTTTAATCATGTTGTTCCTGTTAATATGTGGTAAGGAATTGAGATTCGTAAATATAAAAAGAACAAATAAGTCAAATGGTTTTGTGGAAATTCTTGTCTATTTTTTTAAAATCTAAAGGCCATTGGTTTGATCTTGTACGATTGTGTTGTTGTAGGTATGCATTAAATTACTTTATTCAGAGTACCAAGTTAGGATGATACGATTAATTGTTCAGTTGTGAGTGGATTTTTATATAACAGCAGTTTGTGATGTTATGTTCTTCCACTATTTATCCCGTGAACACTAAAATTCACTTGACTATCCCTAACCTAGAATACGAATTAGAAATGAATAATATGTATTCTAATAACCTGAATTACGAAGCTACAGTTTACTTAGAATTTACACAATAATAGTATTTCCGTTCTGTCTATTATATCACTGATTAATTAAAGATGGTCCAATCGACTTACTGTAATTCAGATTTGTTTAGAACATTCAATAGCCAAAACTCTATCAGTTATAATAAAATTATACGAACATGAAAGAATTTGATTAATTGATGTAATTTATTTACATTGTACAAGTCTATGTGCTCTTAGTTTTTATGTGAGTGCTTCCCGAATCAAGTAGTTGAAGCAGGTTTCAGAATTACGGTCTACTGGCTTTAGCTGAGTTCACTTGACTCTATCATTTTATTATAGTATCACTGTTATCATCCTTACTAATTTTAGTTTGGAAAATGAGGTTGGATTACTAACTTTTTCAGTAATTATATCTAGATCAGACCCATGTACAAATATCTATATTTATTTACTGATTTGAGTGGTTTTTCTTTTTTCTTTACATTTCACCTGAAACATTTATTTATTTATTTGAACACATAAATACTGGCACAGAGGAGGCACCAAATATATATGCGCCACACAAATCTCATTTGATATGTGTGAGGGCTTTGATACTGCACGGGTGCCCAAACCGAAGCAGGTGGTTTTCTTAGGGGGCCACACCCGGAGCCTTCGACCTGAAGGCCTGATCCACAAGGCAGTGGAGCATCGTAAGGAGATGCATTCCCATGGTAGCCGGTGGCCAACGATTGGTTCATATGCCATTTTTTCCCTCAGGATACTGGAGCCCATGTGCACCATTTGTTCGGAATCAGGGTTTTCCAACTCCCCTAGGTGGAATCTCCATGTCCACAAGCCCGGTTAAAGTGCCGAACATTCAGTTTTCGTCCTCTCACTTTCGTAAACAACAGCAATGCCACGAGAAGGCAATGAGAAGGACTTCCTTAACAGAGGTTATATACACGTGGCCGTGTGGGAGCATTTCGAGAGGGATAGCGGACTCTCCCCACTCTCCGCCGTACCAGGGCATTGGGGGGCTGGTGTCGCTGCCTGAAACATTGCTAATTTATGTCTTTTCTACATACACTAATTTATGTAACTTGTTTGTTAAGTACATGCTGACTTTTTGAGCTGAAATTATTGTAAGAGACGTTCATACCACTCAACTGTTATGTGATAACTGGAGCAAGTTTCAAACTAATGACTTACTGGTAGTTGAAAACCAAATACTTTAAACAGTAAATCGTTACTTAACTCATAAATAGTATTTTCAGTCTGTGAATGATGATGTTGGTATGTTGTTACACATGTTTATAATTTGGAAAGTGATCTCAGTTCATCTGCATGAAATTATCCTATATGTGGGCGATATTGTATTTGTTTTTTTTTTTCAAATTTCTTGTCATTCCATGTCAAATACCCTTTTTCTTTCAACCTTTAAAAAGACATTTGTATGTTTAAATTGT